GGAAATTTTTATCCTGTACACCCCTGTATGTCAGGTGTTTAGAACAATGCCGGGCATACATTAGGTGCTCAAATAATTGTTGAATGAAGGAATCGGGTTTCATGATCTTAGTTCTGTTCATAGTTTCTGCTTAACTTGCACTAATCCTTAATTTTCTTGGACATTTTATGGGGGTCTCTCCTTTGGGGAAGTATTTATTTTAACTATTTTTGCATAATCCAGGCTTCTAATTTTGACTTTTGTGGATTTAACAGCAGGAAGTACTTATATAGCAAGATGACAGTTAAATTTTCTTCTGGAGTATCTTCTCTGTTGGATTATGGTCGACTGGGGGCAGGGATTCTCAGCTCTCGCTGTCATTACAATTATTGAGAAGCTTTAAAAAACAAAAAATAGAGCCCATTGAATCCGATTCAGGGTGGGGCCAGGGATTGTATAATTTTTAAGGTTTCTAGGTGATTGTTACCTTGGCATAAAGGTTTTCTGTCCTCAGCAAAATTGGGTGTTGTAATTAGCAGTGTCTGCCAGGAGTGATTGTGACCATTAATACCTTCACTGTGAACTGATGTGAAAAAAGCCATGAACAAACCTTTTTGCTTATAAAATGTTGGGACTTCGTTCACATTGTTATAGCTGGGGAATACTCTCTGTTTTCATGAAGTATGTAATCCGGGGGAGGAAGGAAAACTAACACAGGAACTTGAATTGTTTTATTTATTTATTTTTAAAGGTTTTTATTTATTTATTTGAGATAGAGATTGTGAGAGCAAGAGAGAGAGCGCAAGTGGCGGGGAGGGGTAGAGGGAGAGGGAGATACAGGGCTCTGTGCTGAGCAGGGAGCCCGACTTGGGGCTTGATCTCAGGACCCTGGGATCATGACCTGAGCCGAAGGCAGATGCTTAACCCACTGAGCCACCCAGGTGCCCCCAGAAACTTGAATTAGTTGTTTACATTTAAAAACTAAGGAACAATCCATATATTTGTCTACTCTTGAAAAGTTGGAATCTGCCTTCACTGGGCGTGTGTTCCCTGTAATATGTGGTAATGCTCCTGTCTGTAAACAAGGTAAGTCCTGCTAATTTGATGTAATTCCCACCCAGTCTGCTTTACTCATTTATATTACCCTGTGTACTTACTGTAGACATTTGACTTTTTCATCCCTGACCAGAGTTTCTTAGAGTTTCTTAATTATCTTTTTATTTATTTATTTATATATATATTTTTTAAAGATTTTATTTATTTATTTGAGAGAGAGAGAATGAGAGATAGAGAACACGAGAGGGAAGAGGGTCAGGGGGAGAAGCAGACTCCCCGCTGAGCAGGGAGCCCGATGCGGGACTCGATCCCGGGACTCCAGGATCATGACCCGAGCTGAAGGCAGTTGCTTAACCAACTGAGCCACCCAGGCGCCCCTTAATTATCTTTTTAAAAAACTGATTCCATTGAAGTGTAATTGACAAACAGGAGATTACGTACCTTTGAAACATACAATTTGATAAGTTTGGATATATGTATACATCCATGAAACCACAACCACAGTCAGTGTAATGAATGTGTCATTGTCAGAAGTGTCTTTGTGTCCTTTTTAATTCCTGCTTCCTGCCCTGCTGTCCCTGAGCAAATGCTGATTCTGTTACTGTTTTAACAGTACTATTTTATAAAAAGGAATCTGAGAGTATGTGTTCTTTTTTTTTGTCTGGCTTTTCTCAGCATAATTATTTTGAAGGTCATCCATGTTGTTGAGTGTATCAGTATTTAATTCTCCTTTATTGCTGAGTAGAATTGTACTTACAGATAGTCCACAATTTGTTGATCTGTTTGCCTGTTGATGGACATTTGGGTTGTTTCCACTTTTGGGCTTTTACGAATATTGTGCCTGTGAACATTTGTGTACAAGCCTTTGCAGGGATTTATATATATATATTTTTTTTCTTGGGTAGTTACAAAGGAGTGGAATGGCTGGATAATGTGGTAGGGGTATATTTAACTTCTTAAGAAACTGCCAGACTGGGGCACCTTGGGTGGCTCAGTCAGTTAAGGGTCTGCCTTTGGCTCGGGTCATGATCCCAGGGTCCTGGGATTAAGTCCTGCATTGGGCTCCCTGCTCAGTGGAGAGCCTGTGTCTTCCTCTGCCACTTGCCCCTGTTTGTGCTCTCTCTCTCAAATAAATAAAATCTTTAAAAAGAAAAACTGCCAAACTGTTTTAAGTGGTTGTATCACTTCACATTCCTGTCAGCAGAGTATGAGTTCAGTTGCTCCACATTTCCTGACAACACTTGGTGTAGTAGGTCTTGAATTTTAGTCATTCTCATGGATAGGTCCTGCTGTATTGTGGCTTTAATTTACATTTCCCTAATATCAGTGTTGAGAATCTTTTCATAGGCTCTTTGTCATATATACATGTTTTTTTGGTGAAGTCTCTATTTAAATATTTTTTCCTCTTAAGGATGCCTGGGCAGCTCACTCAGTTAAACGTCTGAATCTTGGTTTTGGCTCAGGTCATGATCTCAGGGTTGATGGGTCCCTGTGTCCAGGCTCCTCTCGGAGTCAGCTTGAGATTCTTTCCCCCTCTTTTCTCCCTCCTCCTCTGTTCCTCCCCTTGCTTGCGGCTCTCTCTCTCTCTAAAATAAATAAAATCTTAAAAAAAATATATTTTCCCATTAGAAAAAGTTGAGTTTTTATTGTTGAGTCAGCTTGAGATTCTTTCCCCCTCTTTTCTCCCTCCTCCTCTGTTCCTCCCCTTGCTTGCGGCTCTCTCTCTCTCTAAAATAAATAAAATCTTAAAAAAAATATATTTTCCCATTAGAAAAAGTTGAGTTTTTATTGTTGAGTTTGAGAGTTTTTAATATTTTCTGTATGCAGATCCTTTATTAATAGATACGTACTTTGCACAGACTTACTATTAGTTTGGCTTGTTTTCACTTTCTTAATGATGACTTCTGGAGGATAGAAGTTTTAAAATTCTTTTGCAGTCCAGATTCTCATTTTGTTCTTTTATTGATTGTGCTTTTGCTGTCACCGGTATGTCCTTGCCTAACCCAGGGACCACAAAGAGTTTTTTTCTGTGTTTTTATAAGGAATGGGTCCAGGTTCACTCTTTTTCTCTTCTCTCTTTCTCCACCCCACCCCCTTTTTCCCTCCCATATGGTGATCCAATTCTTCTAGTACCGTTTGAAAAGGCTTTTCTTTGAGTCTTTGTAAAATATTAGTTGTCCGCATATGTCCTCGATAGGCTGTTCTGTTCCATTGGTCTCTTTGTCTATTTTTATACCAACACCACAGTTTTCATTATTATAGCTTTCTAATAATTCTTAAAATCAGACAATGTTAGTTTTCCAACATGCTCTTTTTTCAGAATTGTTTTGGTTATTTTAGGTCCTTTGTATTTCAATATGGATTTTAGAATCACTTTTTTAATTTCTACAGAAAAGTTGCTAGGATTTTGATTGGGATTATGTTGAATCTATAGATCAATTTGGGGAGAAATTGACATTTCAGTAATAATGAGTCTTGACTCATGAACATAATCTCTTGATGTGAGAATAAAGGCAAAAGAACTATAGAAAAAATTAAATCTCCTTTGCAGCCCATTGACAAGTCCTTGGGACAAGGCAGGGTGACCTTCTTCAAGGAACCCGGCTGCCTCAACATTCATACTTTGCTAGAGGCAAAAGGCAGCCTTAGCTTGACATTAGCCTGACCTCCAGGATCCTGTAAAAATCCTCTAGGGCACCTGGGTGGCTCAGTTGGTTAAGCGACTGCCTTCGGCTCAGGTCATGATCCTGGAGTCCCGGGATCGAGTCCCGCATCGGGCTCCCTGCTCAGCGGGGAGTCTGCTTCTCCCTCTGACCCTCTTCCCTCTCGTGCTCTCTATCTCTCATTCTCTCTCTCAAATAAATAAATAAAATCTTAAAAAAAAAAAAAAAAGAAACCCATTTAAAAAAAAAAAAATCCTCTAGCAGAGCCTCCCACACTTAAAAGACCACACGTTCCCAGAGGGGCCATCCATGGTCATGGATAACCTTGGCCAGAGTGGCCAAGCAGTTGGTGGTGCAGGAGGCATTGCTGACAATCTTGAGGGAGTTGTCATACTTTTCATGATTCATGCCCATCCATCACAAACATGGGGGCTTCAGCAAAAGAGGTAGAGATGATGACCCTCTCAGCTCCACCCTTCAAGTTAGCGCCAGCCTTCTCCATGTCCCCAGCGGACTGCACAACCTGCTCAGCACCAGCATCACCCCATTTGGGGGTGGGATCTCGCTCCTGGAAGATGGAGTTGGGCTTTCCATTGATGACAAGTTTCCTGTTCTCAGCCTTGATAGGGCCATTGAATTTGCCCTGGTGGAATCATATTGGAACATGTAGACCTTCAGCACTGTGTCTCGGGTGCGGCTGGTACTGCGCAAGAAGAGGGGAGGAGCAGAGAGCCAGAACCTTTACGTTTTAAAATGTCATGTCAGGAATCCTTAGAAGAAACAGGTTGTTTCAGTACAGCTCTTCCTCAGCTTACGGGGTTACGTCCTGATAAGCCTGCTGTAAATTGAAAATGCATAGAGCTAACCTGCTGAACATTGTATTATAGCTTAGCCTGGCCTACTTTAAGGCAAAATCCTGTAACACAAAGCCTATTTTATGATGAAGTGTTGACTATGTTATGTAACGTATTGAATACTGTACTGACAGTGACAAACAGAATGGTTGTGTGGGTACAGATCGTTGTCGGTGTATTGGTTGTGTACCCTCATGATGCCTTGGCACAGGGAGCTGTGGCTTCTGCTCATTGCCTGGCATCATGAGAAAGAATCGTATCGCATGTCGCCAGCTTGGGAGAAGACCCACGTTCCAATCTGAAGTGTGGTTTTCACTGAATGCATGTTGCTTTTGCAGCATTGTAAAGTTGAAAGTCACAGGTTAACCATTGTAAGTCAGGGCCGTCGGCGTTCGAATGTGCCTGTTCTAACTTGGTGAGACTGACTTTCATGGCCTCTCCTTCACAGATGATGACTTTGACCAGTTTGATAAGCCTGGGGCAGAGCGATCCTGGAGGAGAAGAGCTGCAGACGAAGACTGGGACAGGTACAGGGCGCCCGGTTGCTTGGGGTCTGTGCTGGCTTCTCTGATTCCGCCCCCGGGCTCTGCAGAGATTCTTGTTTTAAGTAACCTCCGCGCCCAGCGTGGGGCTCAGACTCACAACCCCAGGGTCACGTGTTGCGTGCTCTACTGCCTGAGCCAGCAGGGTGCCCCGGCCCCGCCGAGATGGTTACTGAGAGCAGTATGTGGGCTTCCCGACGCTCTTTCCCTGCTGGGCTGAAGGGAGGGCGGGGCGGGCCTTCCGGGTGGAAGGCTTGCTGGTGGGCCCCAGCCCCAGGCCCGCATTGTCCGCAGGGCCCCGGCTGCCCGTCCTGTCCCTGTGTTTTTCACAAGGGTGCTGTTGACTTGTGGGTCCCCAGAGCTGTCACTGCCAGAGTTCTTCTGTTCAGTCTACCCGATACTTGGCTACAGACTTTAAAACCTTTGCCAATTTAATATGTGTATGATAGTATCTCGCTGTACTTTAAATTTTCATTTCTCTGATTACTGCTGAAAGTGAAAGTATCTTCAGGGGTACACACACATGCACTGAAGGTGTTAAAAATCTTCATAGTAGTGATAAATGTCAGTTCTGTATGGTGATTACTTGTGCTGAGAAGCTCCAGTAGAAGTTAGAGGGATGTGTACTGGGAGAAGTTCATGAGGGCATAGTCTGGGTGGTGGGGTTCTCAAATGAGGATTATTTACATTTTTTTTTTTTTAAGATTTATTTATTTTAGAGAGCTTGGGGGAGGGGCAGAGGGAGAGAGAACCTTCAGCAGGCTCCACGCTCAGCACGGGCCCTACACACGGCTCAGTCTCATAACGCTGAGATCACAACCTTAGCAGAAACCAAGAGTTGGACGCTTAACCGGCTGAGTTAAGATATTTCTTAAGATCTTAAATACTGTGTGAAAATGTAAAAAATTACCTTGTAGTTGCAGTCAGAAAATTTAATAATAAAGGTAAATAGGTCTGAATAAAGAACAACAGCGATGTTCAGTAAAAAGAATCACCTGATTGCCATTTGAAAACTGATGCCCCAGGAGTTTTACAGAATAATCTGCATTAAAAACTATATACATCACAAACTTAGAGCCTACGTAAAGATGATTACTCTTCAGCAGTTCTTAGGCAGTCTATGAAAAATTACGTAGAGCCTACAACAAAATCTCTTGTAAGAGAAATGGCCTCCCCAGCAGTATTGGTACGTAGTTCTGTTTCAAAGATTGTGAGGGGGAGCGGAATAAAAACGTGTGTTTTAGTAGTTCACTCACCATATGGATTTTCTCTTCTGTCAGTTGTCTGTTCATGTCTATGTGTATTTTTCTTACGGTTGTTTGTCTTTTCCTTATTGATTTTAGGGATTCTTTATACTTTTTGCAATTTATTTTTTGTGCTTGGAGATATCTCCTCCCAGTCTGTGACACGTGTTCCTTTAAATAGCAGCCTTCAGGTGGATTTTTATAAATAATGTAATCAAATGTATAATCTTTTCCTGTATGGCTTTTGTTTTCTTTTTTATTAAAATATGAACACAGCGTACTTTGGAATCATTTTCAGGCTTGGAGGGAAGTTGCGAGAGTGTCACAAACACTCTCCTGGGCCCCCAGACTTGCAGTTGCTTCTGCCATGCCCCTTGTCCTCTGTGCCCTCTGCACACCCACTCTCCGAGGCCCCCTTCCCCCACTCTTAACAGTGGTCTGAGGGCACCCGGCTGTGTGCTTCACATGTGCCTCAGCATGTAGTTTTCCTGGTGAGCTTCTCAAGAGCAGGGGCATTCACTTACATAGCCACTGGATCATTTCAAAATCATGAAGTTAACAAACACAGAATTGTGTTTTTTAATCTACAGCGGTTATTCAAGTTTTGACAGTTCTCCCAAGTGTTCCTTTTTATAGCCAAAAATGAGTTTCTTTTTTTCTGGTTCAAGTTTCAGTTCAGGATCATACAGTGCATTTTGTCCCCTCTTATATTCATCTGGAAGAATTATGTATCCTTGTCTCTTACGACTTTGACATTTTTGAAGAGGACAGGCTCTTTATTTTGTAGACTCACCCTTAGCATGGATTTGCAGGTGTCTCTTCAGAACTAGATTTAGGTTGTGTATTTGGTCAGGAATACTCGTTGGCTATGCTGTGGCCTTCCCGAGGGCATCACTTACGGAGGTGTGTGGTCAAGGTGCTTTCCACTTTTTGTCCTTAGGAAATTCTTCCCTGCCTTGTGTTCTGGTATGTTTTGCATGTTCCTATGAAAATTGTGAAGTGTTTTTATTTATTTTTTTATAGTTAAGATACATAATTTGCCTGAAATTGATTAAATTGATGGATTTTTAACTTACTGAGAATTTCAAGAAAATGTGAAAATAGAATAGTACAGAGAGTACCCAGTGTACCATCAGCTTCAACAGTTATTGGTATAAAGTCAGTCTTGTTTTTATCTGTAATTTGCAACCCTCCTCATATTATAGACATAAGTTCATCTGAAAATATTTCAGATTGTATCTCTCTAAAAAAATAAAGGATTTACAAAGACAACCACAATAGAGTTATATTTTGAAAAACTCCCTGAATGTTAATGTCTTATGACTGATTGTCTCGTGTAAATATCAGTGTATCACACACACAACACAGTGTGGATATGGGTCTTGTATGCTGTTTTATAGTTTGTGCAGTCCACATTAGATCCCTAGATTGCAACTGATAGGTAGATTTTCCAAGTGTTCTTTCATCTGTAGGTTTTCATGCATCTTTTTTTTTTTAGTTCTCTGCAACTTTTTGAAGACACAAGGTGGTTTGTCTTGTGGAGTTTCTGCTTTTGCTGATTGTCACCCCTGGAGTGTTAGTGTGTTCTTTCATCTCTTGCATTTTCTGTAAATTAATAGGTCTAGACGTTGATTAGGTTTAGGTTTGAAAATACGCAGGAGGGTGGATGATCCAAGTTAACTTCTGCAAACTGCTTGGCTCCTCTGAGGTACTAAATAAGTGCTTGATTCTTTACTTTTATTTACCAGTTTTCAAAATAATGAGTCAGTTCCTTAGCATCCTCCAAAGGTGAGTTTTGTTTTTGAATCCTTTCCAACTCATAGATTTAAATATTGCATGTGTATTTTCATTGCAGTTGTTATTTTTATTAATATTTGAAACATTCCAGTATCCTTTCAGTGGGACTTTGAGTTGTCAAGAAGTTAGTTGGCTTCCTGCTCTCATGGAAATTGGGTTTGGTGATGATGTGAGGCAGGGCTCCGGTTTTTCTCGTCCTCCCCGGCGTGAATGGCAGCTGTCCCAGCATTATTTACCAACAAGCGCCTTTCTTCATCCGTCTTCAGTGCATGTTGCATATGGAGGTTCTGTATCATGTGTGTTTCTTTGATATTTTAAAAGCATAAGACAGTCTCTTCCATGTACTGGATAATAGAGGGAGAAATCTGAAAGCTAAGGAGAAGAGGGAGCCAGAAATTGTTATGGCCAGCTCTTGCGTTTGGAAGAACCTGGTGCCATTGTTGAGCCAGCCCCTGAAGTGTTTTTTTCTGAAGGATGTGCTTGTATCACTCTGTATCCATGCAGGAGAAAGACGGCGTACTCCTAGCTCTAACTGGCCGTCATTGGACGATGGAGCTGTTCACAGGAGAGGGTTAAAGAAGCAGTAAGAGTTGGTGCGGTGTTCGGGCACAGCCGCAGGCCCGAGGGGGAAGTGCGCCCTAGGGCCCCGTGGGGGTTGCGGTGGTAGCGGTGGGTGGGACTGGGCTGTGCAGGTAGCAGGGAGGGGCAGTCTCTCTCTCCCTCCTTCATATGACCCGTTGGGTCATCCCACGGGCCAAGGCCATCCAGAAGCAAAGGCCAGGAGAGCCTGCACGAGTCTTCCCAGAGAGAGCTTCGTGGAAACAGAGTTGGCAGGGATCGGAGGAGGGTGTCTTGGAGGGAGGGCACACCGAGGAAATGGACTGAGTGCAGGGTCTGCTACCACCTCGCTTGTGGTTCTGAAGGGCTGCAGCCACGTGGCTGACTACAGAATACTTGTTTCCTGGAAGTGTCTTTCAGTGTACACCTGTTCACGGGTAAAAGTGTACGTGCTCTGAAAGAGCTGCTTGCTCCAGTCCTGGGTGAGAACAGCGGCCGAGGAGGTGGTTCTTACGTAGCGATGGTGAGAGCCTGAGGAGCCTTGCCGTTGGACCCAGGAAGCCTCCCGGTCGCCCTGCGCCGCTCTCCTGTCCTGACCCAGCCGCCTTTACCGGCGGGCGCGCTGCGGCTCAGCTCTTGGAAAGGACCCGATTGGGCCGGTCGCTCCCAGGAGTTCATTGTCGTTTTGTTTTCAGTGACTGTTTTATATTTTATAAATTTCTTTCCTTTTGTGTACGTCTTTTGTAAGGATCCAACTTGATGATGACAGCAGGGAAGTACATTTACTTTCTGCGTGGGGTTTGTGCAGAGTAGTTAGGATTTGGACCCCGGAGCTAGAGCATCTCGGGGTTCGCCTACTGACTTTGCCACTTCCTAGCTGGGTGACCTTGAGCCAATTATTTAACATCTCCGTGTCTTTGTTTTCACGTTTTAAAAAATGGGGGATGATGTAAATATCTACATAATGGGGTTGTCATGTCAACAAGAAAGCTAATACATGTGAAACACTTAGAATGGTTCCTGGCACATAATATACTGAACGGATGCTCACGATTTCTTGAGCTGTAATTTATGTCTGTTGTGGTTGTATGGACCTAATCCTTCTGTCTCCCATCCTGCTTGCTTATTTCATGCCGTTGTCTTTGTGAGTCATGGAAGCAACTATTCTCCATCTCGGTACACTCCACTCATTTATAACTGTTAGTTTTCCTTATCTTCTTTTAAAAAAATGCTTTTGTTTATTTATTTTTTTTAAAGATTTTTTATTTATTTGAGAGAGAGAGAATGAGAGACAGAGAGCACGAGAGGGAAGAGGGTCAGAGGGAGAAGCAGACTCCC